TTCGAGAAAGAAAAGCCAATGCAGGTGTTCTCTCTTAACGCAAATAAAAACCGTTGGGTCTCGTCCGTGCCTTTCAGGTTGAGTTTGTCAAGGACTCTAAAGAGCAGGGTGCTGCTCCCGGTAAAGTGGATGGCCTCCCACCATTCACCACGGCTGTTCAGGAGCAGCAGAATGCAGTGAAAGAGATTGTAAGTCACGTTGCGCTTTGGAATCCTCTGAGTGGGGTGGAGCATTTGCCACATGTAGGGGGAGGAGGGACGCTCCATGCACCAGAGTTGGCACCATTTGATACAGCTGCTCGTTGGCCAGCACCAGCACAGTAGGGATGTTGCAGCGTGGCACCGAGGTGGGAGCTGAATAAGGAGACTGCTCCTGGGCCCAATCCTGTGAAGTGCTGAGCGCCCTCAAGCCCCACTGAAATCAGTGGGGGGTTGTGGGTGCTCAGGAGCTATGGCTAGGCCTGGCCAGTGCCCTGGCTCACATCTCTGATATCCGGATAATGAGTATGGCCTGGAGTAGCACAGGGGATCCTTTGGGAGGGTCGGGGGGGAGCGGAAATTCTATCTGAAGCTCACCATGGAACACGCTGCGTTCAAACTCCCCCCGCCCCACAGTAAGGAGACAGGAGCTCTGGAGAGCCATGGCAACAAACTGCTTTTGCATCTGTAATTCATGCCCAGTGTGGCCTACTGCAGGGTTTCTCAACAGTGGCCCGTGACCCAAAATTGGGTCACCAGAATGTGTCAAAGGGTCGCATGGGAAGCCTGATGTCGGGGAGAGGTTTTGGAGGGGTGCAGAGCCCACCCCGCATGGGCAGCTCCAGTCCTAGTTGCAACCTGGCACATGGGGGTCACAGCGCTGCTCAGGTTTGGCTCAGCTGCTGTCCTGTCATAATGACGGGGACCGGCCAGGCCAAATCTGAGTGAGTGGCGTTGAGCCCCCATGCACCAAGTCGCAATGCCACTCACTCAGATTTGGCCTAGCCAGCCCCCAGTCAGAGCAACCGGGACAAACCTGAGCAGTGCTGCGACCCCGGAGGTGACACTGCCTGGAGTGGGGAGCTGAGCCCAGCCAGCGCCATGGGACGGGAGTCCCAGGAGACGCTGCTATGGTATGCATGGTGCACTTATTACATTAATGTGAACCTTGTATAGCGTGGGTAAGAAATATTTAGGAAGCCAGATGTTTTTTGCACTGAAGCTATTTACTGGGTAGTGACAGGCCATTAAGCTTTACAGATGGGTCCTAAGTCCCAAAAGGCTGAGAACCACTGGCCTAGTGGATCGAGCACTAGACTGGGACTCAGGAGAGCTAGGTTTGGTTCCTAGCTCTGCTACTGACCTGTTGAGTGACCTTGGGCTAGTCACTTCACCTCTCTGTGCCTCAGTTTCTCTCTGTAAAATGGGCATTAAGATATTGACCTCACAGTGCTTTACAGAAGAGATCTATGGATGCAAAGTGCAATGTAAGAGCCAGGTGGTATTATTATTTGAATTGGTCGACTTGGTAAGACTGTCTTTTCTTATTCCAATAGGAATTTGATTCTTTTTATTGTAGTAAAATCTAGTGTGGCAAGACGAGGGCTGGGAGCCTGGATCTCTGGGCTCTACACCTGAATTTGCCAGGTAGTGTGACCTTGGGGAAGTTATTGAACCGCTCTGTGACCTAGCTTCCCCCTCTGTAAAACAAGGATAACAATTTGCTTATGTGCTGTGAAGCAAGGCTAAGATCCAGACTCAGGGGAGGAGTAAGCTTCACACTGGTAAGTGACTCCATCTGAGCCTAAACTCACCCTCCGAGGGGCTGGAAGAGAGGGGTATAGCAAGAAAAGCAACTAACAGGAAAGTGTAAGGAAGAGTCAGTTACAATACCCACCTCTCCCCCAGCATGCAAACGATACCAACTTAGACCCCCTTATACCTAGTTACAGACCTGTAATTCACACCCCAGCAGCATCCCCACAGACTACAGCCCTGCAGCTCACTGGCTTTTTGCTGGAATGCCTTGTTCTAGGTCAGTGTAGGTGAGAGAATTGGCATACGCTGACATAAGAACTTAAAGCACGTTTGAGAGGAGAGGTTTTAATTAACCGGCGCCGCAGAACCCTCCCCCACCACCACCACTAACCGAAGCGATCCCCTTTGCAGGTGATAGCCAACATGGCCGCAGCTTACAAGCGGGAGCAGAAGAGCGTGAAAAGGAAAACGAGGAGCCTGCCGTCCCTCGCCTTTAAAGTGGAAGAGGGCGTGTTCAGCAGCAACGCTAACTCGTCGCTGAAGAAGCTGAAGAAGAACCAGTTTATGGCATTTCAAATTGAGACAGTGCTGACACCTGAGCAGAGTATATCCGGGGTGAAGAAAACCAGCTAAACTCCGGGGTCTAACTCGGTGTCATCCTGCTGTTGTATTGGTAATCTTAGCATGAACTGTTCTCTTAAGGTACCTGTGTGGAAGATGGATGCTCAGACCTAGGTAGCTCTGTGGGAAGGGATGGTAAAAGTTCAGATCTGGTGTGTCTGAGTATCTATATGGCCCCACTGCTGTAGTACCAAAGCCCCTCCCGAGTAGTCATGGATTTTTCCATCCCACGTCCCTGAGAGGTGTCATTATTCCCACTGTACAGACAGGGCACAGGAGCAGAAAGCGTTTAAGTGACTGGCCAAAAGCCCCACAGTGAGCATGATTAGGATTGCACTCATGTTGGTGTAAATCAGGAATAACTCCATTAAATTTTATGGGGGTAAATGAGAGGAGAATCAGAGCTGCTAATCTGCGGCAGAGCTGGAAATTTAACCCAGATCTCCTGAATCCCAGGCTGTTGCCTTAGCCTGAAAATCGTGTCTTCCTACTATCAGCCTAGATCATTGTTGCACCAGGTCCCTGTGTGTCCTTTGGATGTGTAAATAGCCTGAAATTTACACATTTGTCTTGGGGGGATAAAACTCAGAAAATGAGAAGGGTTTTTCTCTGATTGTCCAGGCAGAGGGAGACTTGGCCTTGTGCTTTGAGCTTTCACATCCAACTCTTCCCTAAAACGGAATGAATTCTAAGAGTCCCGTGCAGTCAGTTCCCATATTGTCTTGGGTTATACGGTGTAGCATGCAAGTCCAGGAAGTGCTGGGGAATATTGACTACTGCACTTGTGACAATAAACAGCCTAGGTGTTAATATTGTTTTGTATATAAAGTAACTGCGTCCTATCCCTGTGATAGGGCATATACAGGGGAGGAGGTTACAACAGTCTCATAGCTCTGAGATACGAGGGCTATTCTGATTTTGAAAGGAAATATTTATATGTCAGTTCTTGGACTTCTTGAAACTAGGTCCCTCACAACTCTCACCTAGGGTTAGGGGTTTAATTGAAAATCCTCTTGAGCTGATTGTCTAAATCTAATGCCTATTTTGTATTTTCCTGTTGCTGGAGGCTAATGAAGCACTGTAAAGAATAAAGCATTTAGACATTTTTTGTAGATAACATTTTCTTTAATGTGTGTAACTTCCGGGCTGGCTGTGTGGTGGTCTGGGGTACATTAGATCAGACTTTTGTTGCTGGAGAGGAAGAAGAGCAGCTGGCTGATGAACTTCTCTCGTCTTTGTAACGCTGCCAGAAACTCTTCGTAATAATCCCCAAGTCGCCCAGGAGAAGGCGAGATGTGCATGGGAGAACAGGGCTCATTCCAGTCTTGACTTGCTGTATAACTCTGCCAGGGCAATGTGCATGTTTGTTACGCCTGTTTTCGCTACCCACCTGCCTCTTTATAACAAGATCATCCCCGGATCCTGCCACGACAGGGAAAGCGGATTGATTTCATGATGGACAAAGCAATCTGAACTTCCCTTTGGGCCAGCTGTAGAAACATTTTCACCCCATGAAAAGGACATATAAAAATGGGGAGTGGAGTGTGGAGGAAGCTTGTACTGGAGGATAAACACCGACGTGAGGTCTTTTTGGCTGGAGAGCCGCAGGTCCCAAGAGCCTGAAGCAAGAGGAGCTCAGCCAGGAGTTATTCCTTCTGCTCTCTGCCCCGGGGGCAGCTGGTGCTGTTTCTGCACCCTCTGCCCTTGCTCCAGGAAGGAAGATGGGGGAGGGCTGTGAGTTGCCAGGTCAGCACAGGGGCACAGAAGGGTGGTCGGGGGTGGGGAGGTTGGTACACAGGCCCTGAGCTCAGCACAGGTGCTTGCGTTGAGTATGCCTCAGGCCTGCTGCTCTGCTTCACTTTGCACTTTAAATCAGCATCACCATTTCGTTTGTTCAGCCTAAAAGGAACAGAGTCCAGGCAACACTAGGGCCCTGGCAGCTGAACCCGGGCACCTCCTTACGCAGGAAGCTGGGGGGCCCTGGCTACTGCAGGGTTAAAATTCAGGGGACGTGGCAGGAGGGTCTCACCCTACACTGATCCCCAGCTGGCACCCCATGTTTACGGCTCCAGCCAAGCTTGGCAGCTGTGGATCCCCAGGGGCGCGTTACCCTCGCCCTGCCCATCCCGAGTAAATCCACCCACGTGCAGGGCTGGAGCCTGCAGCCAGGGGCTAGGGCAGCAGCTCTTGGAGCAGGGTCCCCTGCTTAGCAGCCCCCAGTGCAAACTGCAGGGTTGCCAACCCTCCAGATTGGCCTGGAGTCTCCAGGAATGAAAGATTAATCTTTAAATCAAGATTGTCATGTGATGAAACCTCCAGGACTGCATCCAACCACAGCTGGCACCCCCGTGCAAAGCCCAGTGGGGAGCCCCCAGGGGTCGGACCAGGAGCCCACCGGGGCTCGGCGGATGCATTTACACAAGCTCCCACTTGCAGCCCTGCGGTCAAGCAGCCGGTGCAAGCCAGGGGCCAGGGCAGGGTCCCTCCCCTAGGGCCCCAGCTGCTTTAAGGTCAGGCCAGGCACGTGGCTGCAACCTGGGTGCGACTTCTCCCTCCTAGACCCCGCCCCCCAAACCGGCTGCAGAGGTGGGCGTGTCCTGATGATGTCACCCGGACAGGCTCCTCCCACTTCCGACCTTGTCCTGCAGGGCCGGGGGCCGTGCGGCTCCGCAATGATCCGAGCCTCCTGCCGCCGCCGGCCAGGTAAGAGCCGCCGGTGCCCGGGGGCAGCACGCGGCGCTGGAGCCCCCTGGTCTGGGACTCTGTCTGCATCGCTGCCCCGGGGGGGGGGTCGCTGAGTTTGGGGCGCCCCCTCCCCCGGCTGCAAGAGGCTCAGAGTCTCGCTGGTTGTTGATGCAGGACCCGCAGGGTGACGATGTGTTTGGAAAGATCAAACCAGGCTGGCATCCGCGGGGCAGCTGGGAACATGCCCTGAATTCCCTTTCCTCCCTCCAGGGGACTTGATTTCTGCCTGCGTCTGCTGGCGCAGATCAGAGCTCGGACATCCTGGCCGCTTTCAGAACGAGAGGGTGGGTGGGTATCCCTGGGTCTGATCCTGCCCTCCTTTTATATGATGCAAGTCAGGTGTAACTCAGGTCTGGGTCAGAAGCCAGATCAGAATCGGGCCCCTTGTGCTTTCCCGTTTGCAGCAAGTGCTGTACATTGTGTAGCTTGTCAATTGTATTTATTTGGTCTGGTCTGGTCCGCCTTCAGACAACCCCCCCCACACACACACACCCGTTAACATTGCAACAAAACAATACATGTAGACACCCCGCTCTGAGTTCACTGCATGGTGGTCATGTCACTTGGTGCTATAGTCATGATAAGCCACAGTGTGGTATTTCAAAGGTTCATTTTTCTTCCTACAAATCTTCCAGTGAGTCTGTCATTAACAGTCGCATAAATGGAGTAACAACAACAATAATGACACCAGTACATCTAATTTTGCATTTAGAAAGTCTTCTACAACATTTTCTACAACCGTGAAATAACTTTATTAATGGAACATGAACTAGAATTATACTAAGCACCATTCTGGCTCTAGCCAAAACAAAATTCTGCAGAGGGCTCGTTGTTGATCATATAGGTTTTTATAAACTCTTTTTTTTTTTTTAACTAAAGAGTAACACAGATTATATTCCTTTTATTACAGTAACAGCTGCATCATAATAGTAGAGTTCAAAAACTGATGTGCACAAGTCAAGGCTGTGTTTTATTGAGACCTGTTTAATGTGGCATATCAAGCAATTCATTTGTTACAATTGTTTTCCTCTTTTGATTTGGCTAAGCAAGATCAAATAGACTGTAATTGTTTCTAATTTCTATCACTTTAGCCAAAAGCCTTTTCCCTAATCTCCTATATATTCTCTTTTCCTTGAGTCTGATGAGACACTTGTTAGAAATCGTATTTATAAAACTCTGCATCAGATGGCGTTTGTATGTGGCCAAAGGAATGGATGAGGGAATATGAAGGTTTTTAGCCTTAGGATTTGTCACTGATTCGAAACAAGCACAGACTGTCACCAAAAGTCCTTCTCTCTGGGTGGTTGTTCTAGTGTCCTGTAGGAAATGAGATTGTGGGTCTCAGTCCAATTCCTCTAATTGTCAGGTTTCCTCATTACAGCTGGCACTAACTGGCACCCCTGAGGACACTCTCAACAGAAAGGCCAAGTGCTGAGCGGTGCATGGAATCTGAATCCCCCCACCTCGCCACCCCGCAGGGCTGGAGCACATTGGTGGGGCAGTGGAGAGCAGTTTGCATAGCTGCTGGATGGAGGCACTGTCAATCCAACATCCTTCACAAGCACTAAAATTTGCTTGATTTTTTTTTTTTTTTTAACTGCCTCAGAGTAATAGGTGGTTTTAATGCACAGACGCTGGGAAATCCACAATAGTAGAGCCTCCGATGCAACTAATAGGATCTGGACATTCAGTCAGTTTTGTTTATTTGAAATAATATTTAAATTATCAAGGTTTCAATCTACTGGAGCTGCACCTTGTACCTGTTACACAGGGAGTCCAGATGCTATTGGATGCCACAGATAACGTGTCAGTCCAGTGCTATTCTGGGATGTTATTCAGGACACGGGGGCGTCTGTGGCTGAGTTCTTAATTAGAAATCTTTGGTTTTGACTGGAGCTTCTGCTGCCCTTTCTCCACTGGGTTCCAGTCCTGCCATGAAACAGCCACTCCATTCCTGCTGCTGGAAGCTTCATTCTCCTATGTCCTCAAGTTTTCACACACAGACCTTCATCTGCTTGCTTGCTTCTTCGGTGCTTGCCCTTGGTGCTGTCCCCTGTAGGAAGCCCTGCTGCAATTTGGGGTGTAATGCAGATTTTAATGGCGGTGGAAAGACAAACAGCATTTACTGCTTAGATCATAATCAGCCTTTTTTGCCCAGGAAAATAGAAGGAACTAGAAATCCTCCATTCTCCAGGGTTCACGCGTGTTACAGGGCTGGCCTAACCTAAGTGTCTCTATTGGGCTCCTTTTGAATTCCAGATCCTCCTCACTGCGGATGGGGTGGGGTGAGGTTTTGGGTGGGTTCCAGCCTGAGAGGCTGATGATGCCAAGCCTGTGCCAAAGGCCTTTGCCCGGGGGAGCTGAGCCCGGGAGATGGCCAGGATTAGAGAGAGCTGTAGGGGTCCTGAGACCAGCTAGCACCAAAAAGAGGCAAAGCCCAAACAGAGCAAGAGACCAATTAAGCGGAGCTGGTGCTGGGGTTACTCAGCTGTTAATGTCTGGGCGGGTTCAGAGCCCTTCCCTGCAGATGGAGATCTGGCACCGGGGTATTTGGAAGTTGTTTTGCTCGTTCCAGCTCTTGCTGGCTGGATCATTAGCGGTTCCTACGGGAACAGACCCTGGCAGCAGGCATGGGACCTTCACTGCACGTGTAGTGGACAGCAATCTACAGATCGAATAAATTAGGGGGAGATTTTCAAAGTCACAAAGGGCAGTTAGGTGCCCAACGCCCCCTCACTGTCCCAAGGAATTGGGTGCTTAATTCTCCCTTGTGCCTTTGAGAACAATGCCCCTCTCAGTGCTTGTCTACCCAAGAAAATTGACCAACACAGATAAAGCGGAATAACTATTATTCCAGTCATTAATAACTATTCTGCTGTAGCTCTGCTGGTCAATTTCCACAGCTATATAAGCTGTTAGAGAATTATTTCGTGAATAATAGATGATGATGGTAAACCATGACGTTGGCTGAGGCCTCCAGTACAAAGGCCCTGTCTGTTCCGCATGGGCATCGAAGATCACAGGCACCTTTCATTAGAGGAAAGGTTTGCCCCAGCCTCTTTGGACTGCAGAAGGGACCGCATTTCAGTGACCCCTGCAAGAGCTATATAGAAGGTTCTCACACAAACAGTGCCTTCAGTGGTGTCAGTCGAGGCACTGATTACTCTAACCCAGGGCATGGTCATGCTACCTCTTGTGAGGTTTCTTATTCTACCCACCTGATAACACCATTTACTCTTCATTATTCATTTGTGTTCTGGTGTCCAGAGGCCCCCCTGGTGATCAGGGCCCCGTTGTGCTAGGCACGATACAAACACGAGGGAGGACGTGCAATTTGAAATTCCTTGCCTGCTGGTTGGTGATTGATCATTCCTGTTCTCTCCCTCGCCTAGTGTTAGCTCTGGGCACAGACTGGTGCAGAGCCTGCATTAGGATGAGGTAGGCACAAATTGGAGCTAGTTCTCTTGAGCTGAGGACTCCAATGGTGGTTAAGCTAGAAAGCCATTATGGTGCTTTTCCTGCAGATCCAGTAGGGGGAGCCAGTTGGTTACTGAGAGATGGTTCGCGTGGGCCAGAATTTCAAAAGAGCAGGGCTCCTATTTAGGCCCCCAATGAATGTTCTCTTTGAAATTCTGGCTACTGATTTAGGTGCCTACATGGGAGCTGTTGGATGCTGAGTCCTCTTGAAAATTGGACCCTGAATGTTTATTTTTGTGCTACAGCATGAGCCAATACGTGTCTTTGGATCAATCAACTGCACCGCACTAACAGGACCCCGGGAAAGTGCAGCGATGCACATTTGTGCAGGGAGATTTTAAAAACGGACCCCGAGTTGTTAGGAGTCCTATCAACTGAGTAATACACCCTTGAAGTGGCTGGTGCTAGCCCTGTGTTGGTTACATGCAGTGACTTTTGTGTTAAATTAAACATGACACACTGTGCTTAGACAGAGTATCCCCAACACCTACTTCTTGTTGATATCGCTCTGTCTTTGGAGTTTGAGCTTTGGGTTTCTCATTGCCCAGTCTTGGGGGAGAAGCCTTATTCTTCTACCTTATTTTGTATTGCACAGCAGGGGAGAGTAATTTGATCTTCTTTCTAGTGTTGTTTAGACTGTGGAGTGTGTCCTTTATGGACAGTGGTGATTGAAACTGCCTGATCTCTTGATTATTTGAAATCCCGTATTTCAGGCACTTGATTGCCTATTTTGTTCCTTTGTAAAAAGGGCGAGAGAGGACTGGTTTGCCACCGTAGGATCAGTATTTTCAATAGAAAATCTCTGACAGAAACTTCAAGGGTTTTGAAATTTGTTGCATAAAAACAAATTTTGTCTTAGCCTGGAAGGAATTGGGATTTAGCAACATTTTAGGCCCCTTTTTAGATTTTAGACTGAAAAGTAAATAGAGGGTTTGTGGCTCTTGAGACGTTTGGTATTTTTGTTCTGTTGCTCCAGACTCCAAAGATTTTATGAACAGGCAACTTTAATAGTAGATGGTGCTTAATAGCCAAAACTTTCCTTCATCTACAAGCTTTCATCAGAAAGGTACTGAGCTAATTCATACCTAAACCAAGCCTGGCCTCCAGTGGCCAGCTCCAAAGTATGTCGGAACACACCCTGAGAATGAAGCTGTCCTATTGGTCCAGGTCTCCAACTGCTAGGGAAGGACCGAATCTGTCCCAGTATTCCATCTCCATAGGAACAGACAGAGGCATTGAAGTGAGAAGGTTGTTACTTTATTTGCCCTTTGAATTTTGTAAAGTATTTGTATGGTTTATAATGAAAATAATAAGGACCTCTGAGGTCAGGAACATGCTGGCATTTAACGAGGGGCTGTGTTTACAGCTGTTATATTAATTTAAATAGAGAATGAATGGGCCGAAGGTGTTAATATAACCCAGTCACTGTTCAGTATTAAACCGCGCTAAACAAAGTTCGGGTATGGAGAGACCTCAGCTTGATTAGCACCATGGCAAACAGGCCATTACATTTAATAACCTTTCATTAAAGATATGGAAAAGAAGGAAAAACCTTCTTTTGAAAGCATTTGAAATGTGAAGCATTCAGTAAGGCGTTCATTTTAACAACTTTGTTCCATTTCCTTTTAGCTGGAGAGAGTTTTTAGAAGGAAAAGCCCCTTGGCTGACAGTCTCTTAGATGATATTAAAGATGGTAATAACTGGCCTTTTGGGGGAAAGAGAAGAAGTGAGTTGAGATGGGCTGAAGCTGTTGCCCTTAAAGTCCGATCCCATTTCATCCCAGGTGGTATCTGGGATTCAGCTGGAGCTGGCAGAGTGGAGGTCTTATTTGGGCTCCTCTGTTTGGCCCGATCTGGTCAGGACATCTCTCAGGATCAAGGCCAACAAGGACTGGGGTTCCAGGACATGGTGAGGGTGGCAGCCGTGACGGTGAAGCTCACTCCAGTAGATGCCGTCTGTTCTTCTCTATTTTTTCCCCCCTCCAAAGTCTCTTTCTTTAAAGACCCCCAGAAGGAGTGGTGGGTGGAGTAGCCCAGCCCTTCATTATTTTGTCCACCAATTAGGCCTAATATTGGACACACCAGTCTTGGCTCATAAATTTTTGGTTCCACATCTTCTGTCTTTACCAAGCATGATTTCAGGGGCGTCATGGGATTATATCAACATGGCCTTTTTGTTTAGACTAATTCAATCTTTTTGTCTCCCTTTTGTACCTCTTTCCATTAACATTTGTTATTATAAGTTACTGTGACATTTGATGACCTTTCACATACTGTCATACGTGCGCTCACAATTAGGGTAAATTTGCAGGCCTGACGATCAGAACGGAGCACATGGCTTTCAGCGTCACCAGCTGTTCCTTGAAGGAGCTAATGTAGGTCCAGGCTTTAGGTTTTCTTTCTCTTGAAAGATTGCATTTGAACTATCTTTTAACTAGTTCGTTTTCTGTCTATGAAAACTTAGTTTTGTCGGGATCTGGTGGTTTTTGCAACCCAAACAGACAGCAGGTTGGGGTCGTGCGGGGCACTTGGGGAATGAAACTGATGAGGGGAGCGGTGGGACACCGGAACTGACCGGTTTATTTTCATTGAGAAGTGCCAAGAGTAAACATGGCATCAGTAGTGAAGAGTAAAATAGACTTTTCAGGTGCTGCCTGGTTTGAATCTAATGTGCTACCATATGAACTGGAACCATTAGCTCACTGAACGTTAAATCTCACCAAATGAGGGTCAATCCATCCTCATCATCGTATCCACTCATTATACTCCACACCTGAACCTAGCCATCATATGAACAACATACCCTCATATCTCAGTGTCTGTACTTTGACCTGTTAACCTTTTACCCCCAATTGGGGATATTGCAGATGATATATTCCTTACGCCATCCAATCTTAATCTGAACTTCGCACCCCTTGATAATCTGTACGTTATTCCCTGATAACCAGAAACTTCTACACTTAAACTCTGTTCCGTTCACTTTAAAAAAAAACAAAAACATCATCTTAATAACCAAGGGAAGGAAATATTTTTGGCCTGATTGTCCACCTGTAAATGGGGATAATGCTCCAGTCCCTCCTTTGGAAAGCAGGAGTGAGATAAAAAGCACCAGATAAGAGCTAGGTATTATTTATTCTTCTGCCCGCCAGGAAGTGCCCCCCTCATTGCTTAAATAGTCCACTGGGCTGCTGGCGCCCTCGAGCAGTTTTTCTACCTTTGCTTTTGTTGGCTGCTGCATTCCCACTTGGACACACCTTACACTTTCATGCTGCCCTGGACAATAACCAGCCCTGGTGGAGCGAGCTGTCTTTTCGGTGTCTAGATACTGGGGTCCATCCATCTGTCTGATTTCTAACCTCTGCCACCTGCTTCTGTCTCTTGCGGCAAATCCCTTTTGAATCATATTCAGGAGCTCTTTTCGTGTGGGCACAAAGAGCCGGCCTCTCTCTCTTGCTGGCTTGCAGTGGGGAGCTCGCAGCAGAGGCCTGGGGGACACTCCCTATCGCACAGCCACCATGTGTTTGGAGAGCTGATTGTCACCTGGGTCTTAGACTGCAGCCACTCTGGCTTCAGGGACCTGATCCCTCCAAGAAACATGAATAAATATAAGTTCTGGGGATAGGGATGGTGCATGCCAACTTGGAGCCTGTCCGCCTTGGTGGTTTCCCTTTACCGCACAGTGCTCCTGTGGCGGCAACGGAGAGACATTGCAGAGACATTTCAAAACAATTTGCTTGACATCATGTTCTAAGGACCTCCTGGAGCCTATTGTTAGCCCATGGTGCTGAGAATTGGGCTGGTCTGGCATTGAAGAGAGTAGCTGAAAACACACCATGACTCTACCTGTAGCCTAGAAATAATTCCCGGCCCTGAAGATTGGAACTATAGAGTCAGCCTGAAAAGCTGGATCAAACTCAGGCCTGCACGAAGGCATATTGTACAGCTGCGAGCACCCTGGGGTATCCTGATCTGGGAGGGGATGGCAGGGAATTGGCCTCTGGGAGAACCAGAGCTCTCACATGAAACGAAACCGCAGTGCTCCACAGCGCTCGGTCCCCCTCTCTGCCATTTCATAAAGGTCACTAATATTCTTGTGTTGTTCCTTTCCCCATCCCAGGAAGGACTAACATGGAAGCTTTTACCTTGAACTAGGGGTTTCTCTGCCTCAAACTGCAATCTGCCTCGCCCCAGAGTCAGATGAAGATGAGAGTCTGGAAGGCTGTGGCTTGCACTCTGGCATTCACCGGTGTGGACGTGCTGGTGACCACGCTGCTGTACGTGCACAGCCGTAGCGGCAAGAACATTGTCCAGGATCTGAAGCACTTCAATGTCTTTAATTCCATGTTGGACGTGTGGGGGGCATGTCTGTACAGGAGCTGCTTGCTGCTTGGCGCTGCCATTGGGGTTGCCAAGAACTCGACCTATGGCCCCAAGCGCCTGAAAGCATCCCAGACCTTCATCACCTTGGTCTGCCTGCTAGTGGGCATTTATGCCCTGGTCAAACTGCTGCTCTACTCGGAGGTCAGGAAGACCATTAGGGACCCCTGGTTTTGGAGTTTGTTTGCATGGACGTATGTGTCATTGGCTGCAACTTTCTGCCTGTGGCAGCTGCTGTCTTCCGTGACGTCCTCCAGAGAAGCCTTGGAGGTCAGTTCAGAGTCCCGGGCGGAAGCAGAGGAGATATGTGACCCCAGCCCTATTACTGTGCAGGAAAAGAGGGAAGAGGCGTCAGGAGCCACTATCCAGAAGCTGCTATCTTACACCAAACCAGATGCTCTCTTCCTCGGCATAGCCACTTTCTTCCTCCTGGTTGCTGCTTTGGGTGAGTGAACAGAGTTTAAAGGGACATTGCCAAGATCAAAATTCCATATTTTCTATTAATATCAGTTCTATAAAAATCACACCTCTCCACCCTGATGAAATCTAAATATTGGGCTTAAACAACCTTTTAATCTTTGTCTCACACCTAGATTATCAAGGCCAGAAACACCTTCAAAGATATTACTGTTCCCAGAAACCAGTTAAACTCCACTGTAACATTTGCTTTACCCGATAGCTCTGTGTTTGAAACCCTGCCTCTTGTTCTAATCCACCTTCTCTTATGCTGCTCCCATACAGGAGAAACATTCCTTCCTTATTACACTGGCTTGGCGATTGATGGAATAGTCATCCAAAAAAGCATGGATCAGTTTTCCACTGCAGTGGTGATTATGTCGCTTCTTGCTATAGGAAGGTAACTGCAATAGATAGATTATTTGTGCCTCAGTTATAAGAAGTTTATTATGTTGAGGTTTAAATCTTCTTCCATAGTATTGTCCTGAACTGGCTAGTGGTTATATGAACCTCTGCTCGAGGGATTCGGAACTGCTCAGCTGTGTGTTTCAGGTGCGAAGCTGCTAACAGCAGTTCTCCTTTAGCTCAGGTGGCAGGGATGTGTCCATGTGGACCCATAAGATGTAGGTAATCCCTGCTCTTGCTGCACAGTTCTAAGTGCCCACAGTGTGGCAGCAGAATGACAACCGTGAAGCCTTAGATGGCCATGACTTTGTTACAATATTTACAGACTCAAGAGGGAGCAGGGAAAGAAACATCCTAAACACTTGGTTTAGTTTTATCTTTCAAACATCCTTGCGGAGGACAAGGCGATTCAGAGGCAAAGCTTTGGCCCATCCCTGACTCTTCCATGGTGACAGCTGCACAAAACCGGCAGATGCAGTTTGCAGAGGGACCAGATGGCATGCCAGCTTGTAGGTTAGTTTTGGTTAATGCAGCTTTGCTGCCCTAAGTCACTTGGCGTTCAGGGGTGAATGAGCCCCGGACTGAATGGCCATGTGCATCCTGCTTGCCACTAGAAATGACATGGAGTTTTTCATGGTTTCCATCTGAAACTGTGAAAGGGGCCAGGGCTCAACTGAAAGGGTTTTGTTTGTTTTGTTTAAGATTAGTTTGTAGCAGAACCAGGTTAAATCAGCCTGATTCTGGGTTTTGTAACAAAAGTTTCTCTTGTTTCTACTCCTGACACTTGGGTGTTGTCTAAAACCGGATGCATGGTGTTAATGTGCAGTGGAAGTGTTGTCTAGTAGTGATAGCACATACCTGAGACTCTGCCACTGACTTGGCCTGCCTCTTTCGCACTTGTGTGTTAGTTTTCCCATCTGTAAAGTGGGGATAATGAGATCCATCTCAGGGGTGGGGTGTTGTCAGGCTAACTTAGTTGTCTGAGCCGCTCTTTGAGATCCTGGGATGAAAGGCACTGTCAGTACAAAGTATTATCATTGGCCCCTGTTTCGATATGTCTGTCTTGGGTCTGACGGGGCTTGTATGTTGTGCTAAGGAGTGGATTTTGTGCACATTGCTATATAACGTCTCTTATCTGCAATTAGCTCATTTGCCGCAGGTATCCGGGGTGGCGTTTTTACGCTCGTATTTGCCAGGCTGAATATTCGACTCCGCAACTGCCTCTTCAAGTCACTGGTTGCTCAGGAGACAAGTTTCTTTGATGAGAATCGCACAGGTTGGTTTCTCTCCATCCATGAGATCAGTCTCTCTTTCAGCGGTCCAGCCTAATCCTCGCGTGATGATGATCTCTGGGAGACAAGGGTGCTCGGTACGCCACATTTCCTTTGTTTCTCAAGATATGAGAATACAGTCTGAGTAAGTGATTGACCTGAAACACTAACACACTGATTGTGGTGGTAGATTTTGTGGTGTTCTCACCTTGACTGAGACCTGCCAAACTCGTTTCATGCCGCCCACTGACCTGCCAGCGGGTGGTACAGTAACCGCTTCCAGTCACTACTGACCTGGGCTGGATTTGAACTGGGAGCCTAGATCTGAAAGGTTCTATGACCCATCATGAATGGCTGCATCCCCTGAGCCCCTGATCTGTGCACATTTCATTCTTGGTTCCCCATGATCCTCCAGTTTGGCTCATGGCACGTGCAATCACTACCTGCCTGTGCCGGTACGGAGATGGGGGCTGTGATTCCTGAAGCACTGACAGATCGGAGCTCTCCCCCACTCCCCTTTGCCTTGCAGGGGACATCATCTCCCGGCTGACCTCGGACACAACGATTGTGAGCGACCTAGTTTCCCAGAACATTAACATCTTCCTGCGCAACGTGGTGAAGGCGACAGGCGTGATTGTCTTCATGTTCAGCCTGTCCTGGCAGCTCTCTCTGGTGACCTTCATGGGCTTCCCCATCATCATGCTGGTGTCTGACCTCTACGGGAAATATTACAAGGTAAGGCAGATTGCTTGCATCTTTAATATATGCCAAGTCCCTCTGTGTCCCCCACAAAGCAGGACTCTTCCATGGGCCAAGTGGCCTCTGAGAGCAAGGCTGGGATCTAGCTGTGGGCTGCTTCTCATGGAGATTGGGGGTGAGCAGCGAATGAACTGTCTCCCCTCCAGTCCTGCTGCTAGGAGAAGAGATCAGGCCAGCCTGTGCGTTGTGGTGGCAGCACAGGACCCCAAACACTCCCTTGCTTTGCTTGTGCCTAAGGCCTGCTTTGGCTCCGAGGAGTCAGGATGGCTCCGTGGAGTTCAGGGAAGGATGCCGGATACATCAGGGATGCTGTATAAGAGCAGGGGAGGGTGCAATCTGTGCTGTTGTACTGCCCCTGTTGGCTGTCCAGAGAGCAACATTGGCTGTAGCTGTTGAGCACCCAGAGTGATTGTCTAGAAAAACGTGGGTTCCAAATAGGGTGACCAGACAGCAAGTATGAAAAATCGGGACGGGGGTGGGGGGTAATAGGAGCCTATATAAGAAAAAGACCCAAAATCTGGACTGTCCCTATAAAATCAGGACATCTGGTCACCCTAGTTTCAAAGTATGTGGTGAGGAGTCTTTAGGATACTGTTGCACCACAAGCTTTCCACAGGCCAGTTCCCAATCTTTGTTCCCTGTTGATCTCTCCTTTCTGTCTGAAGTGGCCAGTGATCCGTTCTGCAGATCCACCAAGACAGGGAGTTTAACTAGACCAGAGGTGTTTCCCTTCATTTGCTGCTGACGTGGAAAGAGTGGGCTAGAACTAGCAGTTAATACAAATCCCCACAATGAGCTTTAGCTGTTCACAGCCCCCTGATCCATCAGTCTAATTGTGGCTGGCTCTCACCCACCACTTTCTGGAATGAGTCACTTCCCCAAACTGGATTGTGCCGCTCCTCCTGGCCACACCTGTTCTCTCCAGACTCTAAATCAGACCTGTGAGGCTTTTCTTGTCCCAGTGGAAGTGCTGGCTGCATGTGCTATTGGTCTCGTTTCGTAAGATTAAACAAACAGATGTTTGCTCAGTATTCAAAAGACCTTCTTCTGTCTTGATGCTGGATTTCTCTGTTAGCCAATCTAATGGAATTACAGGCTCTCTAGTAGCATGATCTTGGGGATATCAAAGGAATGTGTTCTTTAAAGGGAAAGTTGTCTGTCTAATTCGTTTCCCCCCCCCCCCCGTGTTTGTGTGTGCAGTACACAGTACTATGTGACCTTTGCTTTCTCTATTTCTGTCCCTTTTTAGTCCCAATTTGAGCTCTGCTAGTCTGTGGGAACAGTGGAATCCCCATTGCTTGGGACTTTTAGAAAAAGGACAAAACAACCGAAAATGTACCGCAGGGAGGAATCCCGCCCTGGTGCCTGAGAGAGGGCTGGGGTGATCTAATGCATCTTCTCCTCTGAGTCTACAGCTCTGCCAGCTCCATTGTCATAACCTGTAATACCGGTTGAGGCGTGTGCACACTTGGCTGAGTCTCATTGTTCATAAGGAGCCTCTCTCCGACTCCTGGGCAAGAATCCTCTCCGAAGTGACATGCCCGCACTTCCGTTGGGTGGAGCACAGGAATCAGTACAGCGCACGGGCTGGGTGCTGGGCTTTGAGAGCTTTATTGCTGTCAACGTCAGTGCCGTGGGGCAAATCCTCCCTGTGTGCGTAGTGCCGCCCGTGTGACATGCACATGCTGACATGCTGTAAAAGCAGAGGGGCCGTGCCTGGATTCTGGCCAGCTGTGGCTCCCCTGTACGGATTCTCTGCTCTCTCCCCAAGATTATTCTTGCTAGAGTGTGTAATTGGCAAGTGGGGGAAGTTTGCATATTGCCATTGCCTGTTCAGAGTGTGCACATGCACAGACACCAGATTGTGCCCCCCAGTCCTAGGTTCTGACCTGGAGAACCCCTTTGTGGCTTTTGTCACAGGCAGCTGCTGGCTGTCCCAATGTGCTTAAAGATCCCAGCAGTACAGGGACTTGTGTTCATTTCCTGGCTTTGCCATAGACTTCCTGTGCGACCTTGGACAAGTCACTTAGTCTCTCAGTGCTTCAGTTCCTCATCTGTGACATGGGGATAATAGCACATCCTGTCTCCTCCTTTTGTCTGTCTTCTGTATTTACACTGTAAGCTCTTTGGGATAGGGTGTGTGTGTGTGTGTGTGTGTACAGGTGTACAGGTGTACAGTGCCTAGCACAGTGGGACCGGGTCTTGACTTCAGGCTCTAAAGGCTATCATCATACACAAAGAATAATAATGATTGCCCAGAGCCCCTGAAGGAATCTGTCAGACCCAGGGACAAAGGGACAGTGAAATGAACAATGGTCTCCAAATCCCTTTCCATCGGGTGTGCGGTGCGTCCTTTGTGGGGGGGCACAATGAAATAGAAAAATAGCCCCTCTGGTAAATACAGTCCTGCTTTCCCTTCCCGCCTTTCCTTTGTTCACTGCAGAAGCTCTCCAAGGAGGTTCAGAATGCTTTGGCGAAGGCCAACAACACAGCAGAAGAAACCATTTCGGCCATGAAGACTGTGCGCAGCTTTGCAAGTGAGGACATGGAAGCAAATGTCTATTGGGAGAAACTGCAGCAAGTGTACAAACTGAACAGAAAGGAAGCCCTGGCCTATACGTACTATGTGTGGTCCAGTGGGGTATGTGCCTTGTTTCTATTAGCCACCTGTCGTCACTGTGATGATACTGAGGGCTGGGAAGGGTTATGTTCTCATACTGCTCATTCTCTGCTTTATGAACTTTGTAATACATTGTACATAAAAGGTTTTAGGGGGGGGGTTAACAAAAGACACAAACTGTAAAGTCTGCTCACTATCCCCTATGCTTTATTTTTAACTCTCCAAACAAAGATACATTTCTGTTAAGGATTTTGAATAGTGTCATTCAACAGGCAATTTCCTGTAGTAAGTAGCACTATAATTAAGCTCAGTCAAGGGCATTTGAAGCACTGTGTGCACATGTTATTGTGTTATGTACTTAGGCCAGCTAGTTTTTGGTATCCCAAGCTATAAAACAATGTGTATGCGATTTGATCTGCTGCTCAGAAACTGACCAAACCATTTTCAGTGTAGTTTCTTTTTTGAAGGGCACTTTGTTGCCAGTCGAGTCTAGATTTCGGGGCTTCTACTGGTAACCAAAGTAGTGCAAAATCTTCACACGCAACTGACCTGGTTCCACTAAATTCCTTTGTTGAAAGGTTTGTGAACCTGGTGAACCAACTCTGGGGTGACTCATGGCATTCTACCAAAGCCCTGCAAGATTAGTGGTTTCTCATGGTTTGGATGCAAAACTAGACCATTTTAAATTTTAGTTTTTGGGATCATCCAAAGGAAAGCTCACAGCATGAACCTGCGGAGGCTCAGGAAATTGAGAAGACCTGTCCAAAATGAAACTGACAAATTTAGCACAGCTCTAACAACCTCTTTCTCAGGGAAGTGCAGAGTCCTGAACTCAGGTCTTGGCAGATGAATAAAGGAGAAATTTGTTTTCATTATGTTTGGCTTGTAGAATGGATTTATTCGTGGCTTTATAGTCAACAGCTTTCACTGGCTAGCTATGACCTCTTAGCCCAGGGGTGGACAAACTTTTTGGCCTGAGGGCCGCATCGTGTTTCGTAAATTGTATGGAGGGCCGGTTAGGGGAGGGGGTCGTGGCCCGACCTCCACCTCCTATCTGCCCCCCCCCCCCGGACTCCTGCCCCATCCAAGCCCCCCTGTTCCCTGATGGCCCCTCTGGGACCCCTGCCCCATCCACACACGCCCGCTCCCTGTCCCCTGACTGCCCCCGGACTCCCGCCGCCCCATCCAACCCCTCCTCTCATTCCTGATGGCCCCCCCCGGGACCCCTGCCCCATCCAATCACCCCTTCTCTCTGTCCCCTGACTGCCCTCGGAACCCCTGCCCCTGACTGCCCCCTTCCGCTCCATCCAACCCCCACTCCTTCCTGACTGCCCCCGGGACCCCTGCCCCCATTCAAACCTCCTGTTCCCCGCCCTCTGACCGCCCCGCCCCCTGACCACCACCCCCGAACTCCCCTGCCCTCTATCCAACCTCCCTGCCCCCTTGCTGTGCTGCCTGGAGCACCGGTGGCTGGCGGCACTACAGCCGCGCTGCCTGGCTGGAACCAGCCACGCTGTCCCCACCGCGCAGCACAGAGCACCAGGTCAGGCCGGGCTCTGCAGCTCTACTGCCCCAAGAGCTCACAGCCCCGCCGCCCAGAGTATTGCGCCGGCAGTGGAGCGAGCGAGCTGAGGCTGCGGGGGAGGGGCCGGGTTCTAGCCTCCTGGGCCAGGAGCTCGGGGGCCGGGCAGGACGGTCCCACAGGCCGATGTGGCCTGCGGGGCCGTAGTTTGCCCACCCCTGTCTTAGCCAGTGGAAGAGTAGATGAGTCAGGATTCCTATGTTCCATATTCCACACTCTGCTACTCACTCATGTGACTTTGGGCAAATCATGGAACCATTGCGCCTTACCCACCTGAGAACCGGGAATGAAGAGTGCAAAGCACTTTTATTTTTCAATTCTCTTTCAAGGGTCTGATTCAACTTCCACTGAAGTCAGTGGAAAAACTGCCTTTGACATCAAGTAAGAGTTGGATCAGGCTTCAAGGCAGCACTTCTTAGCATATGTGCAACGTGCCTCAGGTGGCACATGACCGGGATTCATCACTGAAATACACTTAAGTAATTCCATTGTGATTTATAATTTAGTCTAGCATATTAGGCCCCAGGCCAGAGCTCCATGTACATTCCAGTGCCAATGTTTGCTCTGAACTTTACATGTACTTTCTGGATTTCAGGGTTGGCCTTAAGTGCCCTTGAAACAAACAGCTGCAGGTGGAACCACAGGCACATGTGGGTACTAGTGTGTTGCTCGTTAATTTCCGTATACTCCATCCTCTCATCTGACCCCTTAATGTAAACCACTGCTGACCTTGCCTATGCTCCTAAGTGTTTTTATTTATTTATTTTTCTTTAACCACATGTAGGCAGATTTCTGGTCCTACGGCTTCCTCTGCTTGGATGCCAGCAATGTTAATAACAGCTTTGCCTGCCATGGGCATAGAGAATATGGGCTTCTCCTGGCATCTTCAGTCTGAAGTGAAAAGCTAGCATTTTTGGCTAGGTGAAAACTCTGCTAAAATATTCCCCTTTGGCCCCAAATGGGGCATTTAATCTGGTCAGGGAAACCTGTTCTAAGGCGAGTCATGTTTAGGTTAGTTCTTTGTTTTAATTGTGTTGGTCTGCTTATTACATAGTCCTGCCTTGAGGGCAGGGGACCGGACTAGACGACTTCTCGAGGTCCCTTCCAGTCCTACACTTCTGTGATTTATGAGTCTTCTACACTAACTTGGGGACAGAGAGGTGCTGAACCACTGCAGCAATCAGGGAGGTTAATGGGATCTGCAAACTGTTATTTCTTGTTGTTGAATTAGTATCACAGCAGCACCTAGGGGTCCCAGCTGGGATCAAGGTTGAATTGTAGTTGGCACTGGCTACTCACACAGTGAGAGTTTGCAATCTCAATAGACAGAGAAAGAGATACAACATCAGAGCAAAAGTCTGGAGACTGAGTCACAGGGAGATTTAAGGGAGTTGCCCATGGTCACAAAGGGAGTCTGTGGCAGAGACAGGAACTGAACTCGGATCTCTTGAGTCCTCGGCCAGTGCTTTCACTACAAGATCATGCGTCCTTCCATTGCTCGGGGCTTTTCAGAATCAGAGCTTTTAATTACAGCCCCTTGCTTGAGAAAACATGCTACCAAATTAAAGAAGAGTGTCCCCCCTCCCCCAAACTCTGTTTTCAAATGCCCATGATCCTTGAGGAAGTTAGGCCTGAAGCATAACTTTCAGATCCCAGTCCAATCTCTTTAGCCCACACTCTCTTGCATATATTCATCCCGGTTTAATTTTCCATAGAAATCAATTGCAATTGTTTAGATGTTACATGTTTTTCCCAATATATGACATAACACCACAGTCCTGCAGCATGGCTCCTCTCTCCTTGCCCCTTGCAGTACAGTTCAGATTGAATTAGAGGCAGCCCAGAATCCCAAATCCCAAACCCTTCACGTTTCAAGAGGTGAGCGGAGCATTTGGCTTTGAATTCCCAGATCTGAATCCCGCTTCTGGGTTGGATCCTAAATCAGAAAGGGCCTGTTTTCTGCTTTGAATGCTGACAGTATCTATTACGGTAACTTGAGATTTTGGGCCTGTCCAGTCCAAACCCTGGCACTGATTCAACCCCCAGCCTGAACTCTAGCATAATCCAGAAACAAACTGCATAAGAACATAAGAACGGCCATACTGGGTCAGACCAAAGGTCCATCTAGCCCAGTATCCTGTCTTCCGACAGTGGCCAATGCCAGGTGCCCCAGAGGGAATGAACAGAACAGGTAATCATCAAGTGATCCATCCCGTCGCCCATTCCCAGCTTCTGGCAAACAGAGGCTAGTGACATCATCCTTGCCCATCCTGGCTAATAGTCATTGATGGACCTATCCTCCATGAATTTATCTAGTTCTTTTTTGAGCCTGGTTATAGTCTTTGCCTTCACAACATCCTCTGGCAAAGTGTTCCACAGACTGACTGATTGCATTGTGTGAAGAAATACTTCCTTTTGTTTGTTTTAAACCTGCTGCCTATTAATTTCATTTGGTGACCCCTAGTTCTCAACCCTTCTCTAGTTCAGATCTCTTTTTAAATCTGACTTAATTCCCACAGCTCTGACCATCTCCTGAGCATCAGATGCTTTATGATTGAGACTTTCAGAGTAGCACAGGGGGATTAGACACATCTTCCATTATTCTTAATGAAAGAGATGTCAGAAATCCCATAGATCAACCTGTGCTTCTGAACTACTTTGTTCCTCCAACATCAATGACCCTGCTTTGAGTTTACAATCTACTGCACAACCTCAAGTACACCGTTGGGACACTCCAGAAATAAAGATTACACTGGTGAATTCTGGATAGCTGTGTGAATGAATAAGCACAAGCCCGAGAAACAACCAGCATTGTCTGATTATGTGTCTGTGCTTGATTTCAGCTGACTCTTCTGGTGGTGCAAGTCAGTATCCTTTATTATGGTGGCCATCTGGTGATCTCTGGGCAAATGACCAGCGGAAACCTGATATCTTTTATTATTTATGAATTTGTCTTGGGAGATTGCATGGAGGTGAGTGTGGTTTATCCATCCACCAGATTTTTTTCACATCCCAGGATGGAAAGCTGTGGGAGGGGAAGTAGAAGTGTTTTGTTTCTCTCTAGGTCACCATCGTCATAGTATTTTATCACCTCCTAAGTATTTAAAAATGGAAACAATGACAGTCCCTCTTTATTTCCCCTCCCGCCCAGCTGATAGGAGTAATAGCTGGGTCAGGGTATAGGGTTTTGCTTGGTGGGGGGGGTGTTATAGGAAAGTTATTGTAGGCTATGTCTACACTACAGCGGGAATTGACGCTCTGAGATGGATCCACCGGCGGTCGATTTAACGGGTCTAGTGAAGACCCGCTAAATCGACAGCAGATCGCTCTCCAGTCGACCCCTGTACTCTACCCCCAACGAGAAGAGTAAGGTAAGTTGATGGGAGAGTTTCTTTCGTCGACCCCCCCGTGGTAACTCGTCCTAAGGTACGTCGACGTGAATAACGTAGCTGGAGTTGCGTAGCGTAGGTCGACTTACCACGATAGTATCAGAGGGGTAGCCGTGTTAGTCTGAATCTGTAAAAAGCAACGTGGTTGCTTTTTACCACGATAGTGTAGACATCGCCATAAATGGAAATTAGTTTTACATTTAGTTCTTAAAGCGGGTAGGTTTGTGGTCACTCCTATCTCCTTGCAAAGCTCTTTTGATTCAGAAGGGCCAGATTTGGGTATTACTCACATTGACTAATAACACAAGAGAATCAGGCTCTAGTCTAGATGACACTGAGGGCCAGGTCCTTAGCTGGTGTGAATCAGCTCCAAAGACTCCAATGGAGCTGGGCTGTTTTACACTGGCTGAGGATCTGTCTCTAGTTGCTTTTGTTATTCCTATGAGTTTCCTGGCCTCTCCTGCCACCACAGCAGCTGGCACTAGCTCCTGTAGGACGTCCTTCAGATTAGACCTGGGACTTTGCCTCCAGGTCCAATTGCCCGCAGTGTGACAGTGTGCTGAGAAGGCAGCCTCGCTCAGCGAACAGCATGGGCTGGGGAGAATCACATTGTTCTCTCAGAATAATAGAAGTAGTTCATCCACTGATGAGACAGCCAGCTGCAGGAAGTGGAGCGGAAAGCTGTCCATTGCTTGAAGGGCAGAGTCCTGGATGTCTTCCGGGCAAGCTTTCCTGCGGGAAGGATGAAAGGGTTCGGAGGCTGCTTGTTACATTTCAGGGCCCATTAAAAGCTTAGTTGGATTCTTTTATTTAATTGGTTATAAACGGCTAAATTGGCAGTGAATTAGCGAGATGGGATTCTGTCTGGGAGCGCCCTGGGATTGCCGAGCCTGCACAAATCTGCTGTTGTCTCGCCTCGTTAGCTCAGCTAATCCGGGCAGAAGAGATCAGCTCCAAACTTCCTCCTAGCCGGGTGCGATCACCTTGGAGCTCCAGCCTCCCCTGGAATGAAGAACAGCACACTTGGCACTAGCCATCTGTTCACAGGACTGCAGGATCCAGTGCTGCTTCCAGTCTGCTTTCCTCCTTCTGGGATGCCTGTTCCTTGCACAGTCTGTTCTGAAGCCTTGGGCTTGGTGCTGGAGGCTGAAGAGTATCAGAGTTTCAAGGGATGTTTTACTCTAATTGGCCCCACCGTCTGCTGCATAGCAGACCTGGGTTTGGGAGTGGGCTTTGGGTTCCCATTGGGGCTCTGATAAAATGCATTTCAGAGGAGGGAGGGGCCGTCCCATATTCATAGGATTGCTGCAGAATCCCGGGTGTTATGGAAACTGCTTGTCTTGGTCACACGGAAAACGACAGGAGGGTTTCAATCCATGTTTGGGTGATTTGTTTTCTGGGAGACCCCTCCCTGCATTCGCTTTTCCTTCCACTGTCACATGCACGTGCCTTCTACAACCTCCATAACCGTCACTCCACCATTGCATGCATCTGTGTAATGAATGTTGGACCAAATCCTGAAATCGCAGGTGTATACATTGTATCTTAGACCAGCAGTCAGTGCTGCTGCAAGCATCAGCCAGAGAGGGGTCACTCAAAAGCTACATCAGGTATTGGTGGGAGAGGAGATAGACCCTTCCACACGGCCCCACCCTTTTGCGGCTCAGCATAGGGTATTACGTTGGTGGCATTCCCTGGGAGTTTGGGCTTAGGTGCCACCCTGCCATCTGGGGTGTTACTTTCTATTGCAATGTATGACTATGCAGTGCATGTTTAGTTCATTTACAAGAGAGTGATATATTTTAATGATCATTATTTCTGTCTTTACTAACAGATCCTATCTCTAGCCCTGACACATGGAGATGTGTAACCTAGGCCTGTTTTGTGTTTCTATTTAGTCTGTTGGTTCCGTCTACAGCGGATTAATGCAGGGAGTAGGAGCTGCTGAGAAAGTGTTTGAGTTTATAGATCGCAAGCCGACGATGGTGAACGATGGAACCCTGGCCCCAGACCATGTGGAGGGTAAAGTGGAGTTCAGAAATGTTACTTTTTCCTATGCTACCCGGTCTGCAACACAGGTCCTACAGGTGAGGGTCTTGGCATGTGTTCAGCGTTCCCTTCCTGAATACGCAGCATCCTAGATAGCGTTGCCTCCTGGAATAGGTTAAGTGCAGTATTTCTCCAGCAGGTCAATTACTAACTAGTTGCAGACTGCAGCATAATCATTGAATCATAGAGCTGGAGGACTAGAGGGGACCTCAAGGGGTCATCTAGTCCAGCCCCCCAAACGGACGCAGGACCTACCCGTCCCTGACGAACTCATTTGTCTAACGCCTCCTTAAAAACCAAATGTTGTAAGCCCCGTCCTTGGAGACATTTCAAACCAGACTGGACAAAACACTGAGAAATAGATAGTGGGGAACCATTCCACATGGCGGTGTGGTGAAAAGAGGGCATCTAGGGCCTAACGAGGGATACTTACGTTAATAAAACCCTTGTTCGCTCTTACAACTTAAGTGTCGTCCAGGGTCTTGAGTCGCGTTATCGCTGGCGACTCCCATTGTAGCGACCACCATTCAATGCTTTTATTAAAGACACAGAAAAAGAAAGGGGGTGGGAAAACAGTTAAAGGCTTTGCAATGCAAAGTGTTAAGTAAGGCTTTCGTTGTAATAATTCCCCTTATTTCCTTTCCCTTACTTGCTCTGTATTAAGATTTTTGAATAGGAGAAGCCCCTGTTTGACAGAGGATATTGACGATGTTATTAACTCTGTCCTTGATGGGGAAGAGAGAAGAGGTTAGTTTTAGGTGTCTTGAAGCTATTGCTGCAGCTGCTGCTGTTATTGGAGTCCAGTCCTGTTTCCATGAAGACTAAATAAGACACCCACAGACAGACAAAGGGGCAGAAAAGAACAGCAAAGATAGAAAATGCAGCTTCTGACTCGGGTGCTGACTTTCACTGGCTGCTGGAGGGACACAGGCCCAGCACACCCACTTCTCAGCCACTCAAGGTCTGGCAAACTTTTATCAGCAGCAGGCTGTTTGAGGCATTGCTACTAGCTGCCTTTCTGGTCACAGGCTCGTCATGGTGGTGCAAAAAGTGGAGATGTCTTGGCCGATTCAGCCAGATTCTGATTAGACAAAAGGCAAAGGAGAGGACAGGCAAGAGGAAAGATAACGTGGGAAGGGAGGAAGGACACATGAGGAGTGGGTAAGAACAGGAACCCACGTCTCCCGCCCCATGTATTGTTCAGGATTCAGCTGAATCTGGTGGCGGTGACTGTGTCCTTGGTTTCCTCTCTGGCCTGGCTTGAGGATCAGGACAGCGCAGGCCCGACGATCCCAGGAGACAGGTGGCAGCCATGACGGTGAAACTCGCTCCTTCCAGCCCTCCCTTTCCCCCGCTCCCATTGAGTGACCCCCAGATAAACAACGTCCAGTTGAAACACATTTTGGGGATTTCAACTGTCAACGTTCCCTCCCATTTCTAGACTCTTTCAGCTTGTTCTCATGCCAACCTGTGACTTTACCAGGAGCCTTGATCCCTGAACCTAAACCATCCACTTTGTACCAGTCTCTGCATATTCAACTTTGGCCGACTTTCATAAACAATTGTATGTAACAAGCTGAGATGGACTTTTGTTACTTTGCACAACTTAACATACAGGCCTCTTGGTTTTTCCTATCTTTCATGCCTATGATTTTGCATAGCTGGAAAAGTCCATCTGTGAGCTCACTTACTAGAAAGCCTTTTGTAGCTGTTTAACACTGAGACAGAAGGGATGTTTCTAGGTCACTCGAGAGGCTTGGCAGACTGCGAACCAGGTACTGATCTCAGATGCGTGGGATATATGGGTAACGGGTTGGTCTCGGAGAATCAGCTAGATTCCAAGTGTTATATATATAACACTGGAGGGAAACCGAGAGCAGGATATGTAGAGCTGCCCATTTGTGGTGGTGGTGGTTTGTGCAACTGCGGGCGTGTTGTGTTTTGTGTCGTGCTAGTGAAAGCTGTTGGCCTGTTCGACCTCCAGTAGGTGGAGGGAGGGCCCTGAAAAAGGATCCACCCATTAAATCAAAAAGAGCAGGGGTGAGATGAGAGGATGGGTACCAGGGCATTGCTGGACTGCCAGCCTTTGAGACTGAGCCGCAGGACAGGTGTAGCACAGGGACAGCAGAGAAAGCGTCCCCATGCTGCCCGGTGCCAGTGGGCCTCAATCCTGACCCTCTAGATCTAGCCCATTCAGCCCTCAGCTTCTCTAGTGAGACGACCAACAAAGTTGCCAGTTGTGGTTGTGCCTTTTATGATGTGGCCACCAGACCACTGGGGACTGGAGAGAGGCCACTGACCATTTCCAAGTTAAGTTGGGTCAGAGTAGCAGAGGAAAGGGGTGTGATCTGCAGTCTCTCTCCTGGCTTTTGTACATGCCTGTTCTATGAATAGGTGAGTTTGAAGAAAAGATGTTGGGCCCACCTGCTTGTTGTGGGGGAGGGGAGGAGTGAGGTGGAAGATGATGATACAGCACTGGGAGATTATCTAGTGGGAGCTCATTGATGCTCATCACCTGGCATTGAAGCTGGAGGCAGCCAATCAACCAGTGGTAGGACAGCAGCACTAAAGAAAACCCTGATCACTGTTTTCACTCTGTTTCAGCTGCCTTTTCTAGTGTACTCTCTGCAGATCAGACACATGGATGCTATAAAAGGCTGGGTACACAGGCTATCACTCACTCACCTCTTACGTTTACAGAATGTGTCCTTCACCCTCTATCCTGGCAAAGTGACTGCGCTCGTGGGTCCTTCGGGCAGTGGGAAGAGCTCCTGCGTCAATATTCTGGAGAATTTCTACCCTCTTCAAGATGGGCAGGTCCTGCTGGACGGGCAGCCTATTAACATGTATGATCACAAGTACCTGCACTCAGTGGTACGAGTTACTCATAAACCTATTATAGCTCTAATCTGCCATGGATCAAAGCGTTTTAGATCATTCAGGGGATACTGTCTGGTCAAATTTGGGCCCAACATTTAATTTAGCTCTTTCTGAAATGTTTCCTCAATGCCTGAGACTAGAGCTGGTTAAAAAAATAATCAATTTTTTTGATGGGGGAGTGGGGAGGAAGAAGAGGAAGAAATGCACTTCCCCCCCAAAAAAAAATTTCACCCCAAAATTGGCTTTGTTTTGACTAGTTCAACCTAAGACAAGTAGAACCATGTCCGTGATTGTTTGGGTGTTTTTAAAAATTCTAATATAAACCAGGTTTTTTAAATACTTTGCACTTCTACAGCACCTTCTATCCAAGGATCTCCATGCACTTTACGAATATTAATTAGTTAAATCTTCCAACACCCCTGTGACGTATATGATCCCCATCGGCGAAGCCAAGAGACAGAAAGGTTAAGTGACTTGCCCAAGATGACTCTGGAAGTCTGCAGGCTTCATTTCTTACACAAATAAACATTCCTCTGCAGTGGTTACAACCCAGAATACACAACATTAAGCTTCTGCATGAGAACCTGAAAACATAAGGGATTAGAAACTGACTCTAAACCAAAACTGAAATTGACTAGTCTTTGTCCATGACAAGAGAAATTTAAAAAATAAACAGTGGCATAAATGGTGAAAAGTAAATTAGTAAGTTTTTTTAAATCCTTTCCATTTAAATAGCCTGATGTTGTGGTGTCAGTAACACAAATAAGGCTGTTAATGTTTGTTGTATATGCTTTTAATATCTGCTGTTGCTCTACATGTGAATTTCTGAGAGATAGTTTGGAAAATTTGATTTTTAAAATGTAAGAGAGTTTACAGAAGGGGGTTATAAACTGCAGTTTGAAGCGGTTGCTTTCAGGGTGGGAAGGAGAAGGCATTGTTTAGGAAGTCAAAAATGACAGCTCTCTAACTTTCTAATTTTGGGATTGAAAAATGACGCAGAGCCAATAGGGCTGTGTGGCTGAACGGTCTAATTCTCAGACGCCCCACCAGTGCACTGTCTTCTATAGGCCTGGAGCACTTTATACTGACTTCATGCTTCTAGTGACTTAAATGGTTTTGGACATGAGTTTATTGTGTTGGTTGCTAGGCTGTTGCTGCAGCCAGCACCGACAGCGATCTCCATGCTGTGTTCAAGATGCCTAACCATGGTGACCGGATAGACTAAGCAGGAGGCTCTCTCTAGTCTGACTGACACATGTTGCCAGCCCTGGGACTGGTTTCGTGTTACTGCCTGGTGGACTATAAGAAATGACAGCCCTGAGCTTGCAGTGTTACAACCAAAATGCAACAATATCACTAGTGGAAGCTGCAGGGTTTTGTCCCATTGCTGCAGTGCTTAATAGGGTAATACCCTGAGATAAACAGACCAGATTCACTTTTGTTCTCCAAGAGCTGCACTTTCAAACAGAGCAGAAACCACAAAGCACTAGAAGGTGTTATTTCCCTTAGCTCCTACAGTGTTGTCAGTTTCGTTTCTTGGTTCAATATGAAGGTGGTGCGTAATCACTTCCCCACACTAAAATACCAGGTACATCTGGCAAAATGTGCTTCAGTGCTGACTAATGCCCTGCAGCTTCCATGAGTCAGTTAAGAGCTCCTTCTGAGGGCACAGCTGCATTGCTCACACGGGCAGCCTACAACAGAGTGTAATTAGTACCCTCGCTGAAATCCTCTCTGGTTTAGGCACTTTAGGTCTAGGTTTAACGGTGGAACTCTGCCATCTACACTCACAAACCAACTGGAACCAATTATTATAATCGGCGAGAGGACTGTAATCATTAAACTGTGACTGTTCTGTTTTGGTTCTGACTGCCTCTTCCCTTCCTTTCTGCAGATTTCTTTGGTGAGCCAAGAGCCAGTGTTGTTTGCTCGATCTATTGCAGAAAATATTTCATATGGTTTAACTTCAGTCTCATTCGAGTCGGTTGTCCAAGCTGCTCAGAAGGCCAATGCACATGCGTTTATCACAGAGTTGCAAGATGGCTACAATACAGGTAGTACGGACCATTTCGTTTGCTTCAGTTGCAGCAGAAGCATGGCACTTAAATATCCAAAACACTTCTTGGAGATTGGTGGTAACATACTGAGCCAGTCCTCTCAGGTTAAGGAATTAAATTCAGCTCATGTTAGCAGTGACCAAAACTCACTGACAGTTGATGGTTGTTGGCCAAGATGGCCTCTGACTGCCAAATATTGGGACTGGCTGACAGGATGGATGACTCAATAATTGCCCTGTTCTGTTCATTCCCACTGAAGCATCTGGCATCGCCCAGTGTTGGCAGGCTACTGGGCTAGGTGGACCCAGTGTGGCCATTTTTATGTTTCTTATGTTCCATGGCTTACTGTGTGTGAACTTAGTTTGGTCTCAGTTTTCCCCCCCCCCCCTTATTGACAGACTCATTAGAGAGGCCAAGGACTGAATGAGCTACGGAGTCTGAGCTATCTTCTCCCCTCAGAGGTGGTCTCTCCAAGTCAGGGCTGTGGCACCTGGTTGGGCTTTATGTGGAACTCTGTGCTATTGTTGCCCCTGGTATATCTGTTATGTGGCGAATGGGAGGCTTTAAGTCAGCTTTCCGCGGGAACAGGATTGGGCTCTGGATCCCTAACTCCTCTTTCATCCAGCGCCAGGTCCTGGACGGAACACACCCTCTATGTCTTTTAGTTTTTCAGTGCGCTTATTCTCTTAGCAATTCAATAGCAATAAAACTGAGCAGTGAGGCATAAACCAACCTGCTCCTGCTTACCAAGAAAATAAAATGACAATAAGTCTGCAGGAACAAGAGTTGATGTGTTGGTGACAGAAGCACTTTGCATTGGGACAAATGGCTTATATGATGCAACCGAAATGTTTCAGTTTCCCCTCCCATCTCTCTTCACTGAAAGATCTGCAGAATGAGTCTCTAGGGGAGAGAGCCCATGTAACTGACAGTATATGTAAATGTGCAGAAGTAGCAATAACTGGTGCTACCTTTCAGTGCTGAGGTTTCCTTAGAAGAACTGGTCAGTGAAGATTTTGTATAGTTGATCTTCCAGTCTCGTGTAGCATTTCTCATTCTAAGAGCAAGGGCTCTTGGAATCACTGTAGCATGTGTCAATCCCCTAAAATGCCGGGTTGACTGTGGTGATCCACTGCTGGAGAGAACAGTTATAGCATTCCTTTAAGGGTATGGCTACCATAGGGGCACAGGGTTATTTTGGTAACTTAGGGCCTGAAGGACTCCCATTGAGTTCAGTGGGCTTTGGATCAGGTCCTTATTGAGGAGTATTGACCTTAAAAATCCCAGGCCAGCATTTCCGAGGAGGGCACAGTTAGAATAGCTTCTGGGAGACTAGAACACCCATCTCTTCTTGTACCAAAATACTTTTGGTTCCTGTTTTCAGGGTAGGGGAAATAATACAAAATATCGAACAGGGAAAGTTGATCTGTATCCAAAGCATATTAATAAATATTCTGGAAGTGAGGGAGGGAAAACAGCTAAAGAACCTTGGGCCCTTCATTCTCCATCTAGCAGTTTGGTGGTTTACGTGAATGGTGGGTATCAGTTCAGTTTCCAGGGCTCTAGTGTGTATATAACACACACACACACACCCCCAACAATTGACACAAAGGGTACCGCTACACAGCCCATGGCAGTGAGCCTCCAAGCCAGGGACGACAGACTGGAGCTCACGGGACTTGTGCTGCTGCGACATGGTTGCACCTCAGGCTGGAGCCTGGGCTCTGAAGCCAAGGGAGGGGGATGCGCTTCAGAGCCTGAGCTCCAGCCGGAGACGCAATATCAACACAATTATTTTTAGCACGGTAGCGCAAGCGCTGTGAGTCTGAGCTTGTCATCCTGGGCTTGGAGGACTCACTGCTGCTCACTGTGTAGATGTATCCTTAGTGTCCCTGTTTGCAGTCTGGGAAGAGGTGCCAAGGACTGAAGAGGATCAGGCCATCGAGATTGAATGACTCCCCCCACCCCCCAGTTCCCTTGATGCAGTCCTTTCAGCTTAGGGATGAGGTGTATTAGGGCACTAGCCTAGGACTTGGGAGACTGCAGTTCAATTCCCTGCTCTGCCACTGACTTCCTATGTCACTTTGGGCAAGTCACTTAGCCTTAGGGTAACTAACCATTGGAACAGTTTATCAAGGGTGGGAGGGATAGCTCAGTGGTTTGAGCATTGGCCTGCTAAATCCAGGGTTGTGAGTTCAATTCTTGAGGGGGCCACTTAGGGATCTGGGGCAAAATCAGTATCTGGTCCTGCTAGTGAAGGCAGGGGGCTGGACTTGATGACCTTTCAAGGTCCCTTCCAGTTCTAGGAGATAGGATATCTCCATTAATTAAATTAAATTAATTAAGGGTCATGGTGGATTCTGCTTCACTGACTATTTTTAAGCAAGATTGGATGTTACTACTAAAAGATCTGCTCTAGGTGTTACTTTGGGGAAGTTCTCTGACCTGTGTTATACAGGAGGTAGATGATCACAGTAGTTCCATCTGGTCTTGGAATCGCTGAATCTCTCTGCAACTTAGTTCCCCATAGGGAAAATCGCACTGCCTTACCTCACGGGGGTGTACTGAAAGAAATCTGAATCCAATGATACATCTTGATTTTTTTTGTCTCATTTCCCCCCCCCCTTTCATCCAACAGAAGCTGGTGAAAAAGGAGCCCAGCTGTCTGGTGGCCAGAAGCAGAGAGTGGCTATTGCAAGGGCTTTGATCCGAGCCCCCCCAATCCTAATCCTAGATGAAGCCACAAGTGCCCTGGATGCAGAGAGTGAACACACGGTTAGTAGGGCTAATTCAGTTTATTCCAGGAAATAAATAGGAGTTAAGTCTGGACTTTGGGGTACAGACGGGCAGAGACCTGAGCTGCAATTTCTAGATGGTGGGCCTGCATAGTCTGGACATAATGTGTTGCCTTCTTAACATCTGGCAATTGTATGAGCAGGTGAGAATTAGAAACTAATTTCCGCTTTATCTTCTTTCAAACAAGATTGTAACCATTACAAAGGGAATGATCTGGCATCTATAACATACCAAGACTAATTCAGGTTCAATACAAATCGCTTTGCCCAGGGAAGAAGTTAAACAGTGCACAGCAACATTACACAACAGCTTAGGACAGGGAGTGGAGAAAACTGTATCCTGGTGAAACTGCAGTAAGGCAGAATGTAATTGCCTGAGCTGGAATGTAGCCAGGACACCAGAATGAGCCTCTCTGCTCTTGCCAACAGTACCCAGGGAGCCTTCAGGGATAGTGAGCAGTCAGAGCCTTTGTCTAGTCTGATATGACACCTTGGTACCACAGCGCCCCCTAACATGTTGGGATATTGCTTTGGTACCATCTTGAAGGAAAGTTGGTGAATCACCAGCACCACTTTCTGCAGCACCTCCATTTTCCATAGAGAGCTCCCATCTGAGTACAGTAACTCCTCGCTTAACGGTGTAGTTATGTTCCTGAAAAATGCTACTGTAAGCAAAACGATGTTAAGTGAATCCAATTTCCCCATAGAATTAATATAAATAGGGGGAGTTAGGTTCCAGGGAAAAATTTTTCACCAGACAAAAATCTATATCTATCTACACACACACACACACACACACACACACACACTATAAGTTTTAAACAAACAATTTAATACTGTACACAGTAATGATGCTTGTGAAGCTTGGTTGAGGTGGTGGAGTCAGTGGGTGGGATATTTCCCAGGGAATGCCTTGCTGCGAAATGATTAACTAGCACTTGGCTGAGCCCTCAAGGGTTAACATATTGTTGTTAATGTAGCCTCACTCTACAAGGCAGCAGGAATGGAGGAGACACAACAGAGGCTTGGCAGTGGCTGCAAACATTCCCTGCAGAAACTGAACGTGATGATGAACCCAGGCTATCCCACTGGAGCGCACCACTCCCTCCACTTTCCAAAGTGCTGGGGGGTGCATGTGTGTGTGAGACAGATGCGCATTGCCTCTTTAAGTACGCTGACCCCACTCTAAGTACACTGCCTTTTTAAGTAGATCAGCAAGTTGAGACAGCAGCTGCTGCCAGCAAGCTCCCTCCGTCCTGAGTCCTGTCGTGTACCCCCTGCTCTGTGGAGATGCGGTGCAGGAGCAGGGGGACACCCTGACATCAGCACCCCTCTTCCCCTCCACACCCTGCACAGCAAGCAGGAGGCTCCCGGGAGCAGCTCCAAGGCAGAGGGCAGGAGTAGCACACGGCAGTTGTGGGAGGGACACCTGAACTGCCTGGCAATTGATAGCCTGCTGGGAGGCAGCCGCACAGGGAACTTAGGGGAGCTGACGGGGGCTGCCAGCCCACTCTGGTTCCAAGCCCCCACCAGCTAGGTCCAACAGGCTGCTCTTTCTGCAAGCAGTGGACAAAGCAGGCATCTGCCAAACAACGTTATAAGGGAGCCTTGCGCTACTTTAAACGCGCATGTTCTCTAATAGATCAGCGACGAAACGACGTTAACCAGGACGACGTTATAGATATATATATTGAGATATACCTATCTCATAGAGCTGGAAGGGACCTCGAAAGGTCATGGAGTCCAGCCCCCTGCCTTCACTAGCAGGACCAAGTACTGATTTTTGCCCCAGATTCCCTAAGTGGCCCCTTCAAGGATTGAACTCACAACCCTGGGTTTCGCAGGCCAATGCTCAAACCACTGAGCTATCCCCTCCCCTTTTAAAGTGAGGAGTTCCTGTAGTGATTTTCCCCAGACTTGCTTTGCTTTCAGGGATCTGATGAAATCACAGCTCGAGGAGGTAATATGACTGCAGATCTACTGAACAATTCAGCAAAAATGTGGGGACTTGAGATCCATGGTTGACTGCAGCTGGTTTGAATACCTCATGTCGGAATGACTCAGTTGGTAGCACTCGTCTGAGTCAGACTGTGGAGCTGAAGTCCCACAGCAGGACCTAAGGACATATCTCATGCTGATGCTACAGTGCAGTACAGTGAGCCTGGAACACTGTTAGGAGCGGTCAGATGCATTGTATTCTGAACTTATACACTATCATCTCAGTACACGATGCAACTTAATATGAGGCACCATAGCAAGATGTGTAGTCTACAGTGCCTGTCCCAAAACAGCATGATCCCTGCGGTTAAGAGAAACTGGCTCTTAAATGTTGAAGCTGGCAGTGGAAGGGTGTTTAATATAATATACCTTACATTTATCCCACGGCATTATGCAAACTTCCAACCATTGAAATGCAGCCATTTCTAGGACAGAGTGCACCACCTGCCACACTCCACAGCAGCGGGATGGAGGGGAAGTTTTGACTATGGTTACTGAGGAAAATCTTAATTCTTAACAAATGCGTATGGGTTCATTAACGTCCACACACAAACAGATGGGACTTTGGAGTTTGGAAGGGCCTGCCTGAAAGTCCCACTGAAATATACGAAAGGCTGAAACTGGCTCTAGTCAAATGGAAATACAGGTTTGTATTTGTGTAACATGAATGCATTTCAGGATTAGTACTGATGACAGCCAGATGCTTTATTAATGATGACAGCTGTGAGACTACGGCCATCTTTGTTTCCAAGCAGGTAGAAGGTGTGTCCATTTGACACATACCTAACATAACTGGCTGCCTTACTATGTTAAGAAAAATGTCTTTTTTTTTTTATGCTGCCTTTATTGATGCTCAGCCAGCCAATATCCCCTTTTTTCCAAAGCACTGCATTTAGTAGGTGCAAGCTTCTTTCAGCCCCTGCCACTATAGAAGGGCTTCTAAATTCAGGGCCCAGTCCTAATGAGAGTTCACCTTGCGGGATCAGGGCTGTAATCTCTAGACCCACCAGACCAGTTGGTGGCTGCAGCAGCTGCTGCTGCATTGCATGGATGGGCTTTGTGAGTTGAATTTTGAGCGGTTTGAGGGAGTGCTTAGGAATAAGTAGTCCATCCAGAGCAGTGATATTCATGCTTATTTCCCATTAATACTAATGGGACATCCTGTTAATAGATCCATGTGTATCCAGAGGAGAATAAACCTGTTATTCCAGATTTCTTAGTAAGGAGTCATAAAAGACACTCTCCCCTGCCCCCCCTCCCCCATGAGTAACAGTGACATTTGTGTGTTAATCTCTTCCCTTCCCAACCCCCATCCCCCAAACAGATTCAGCAAGCAATTTATGGTGACTTGCAGAACCACACTGTGCTTGTCATAGCCCACAGGCTGAGCACTGTCGAGAAGGCACACAACATCATTGTTTTAGACAAGGGCCGAGTGGTGCAGCAGGGAATGCACAAGGAGCTCATGGAAGAAGGCGGCCTTTATTCCAAGCTGGTGCAGAGACAGATCCTCGGGCTCGAAACTGGCACAGGGGACGGCTATCATCTGGAGACTAGCTTAGCTGCTGCCAGTGGACATTCGATGAAGCCGCTGGGAGGACTGGATGAAGAGTTCAGGGTGTGACGTGCTCTCTCTGGATTGAGACAGGATGGTTACAATCCTGTAGCTCACAAGTGAGAGAGCACCAGGGATTCCATGCAAGATCCTTGCTGGGATGCTGAAACAGGAGTCCACTGTAGTCCAAACTCGGACACATTACTGTAGAACAAGGCCTGTTTACTAGTCACGCATACTAACCTTCCAGTAGGCAGACTGGTAAAACAGGGAAACAATGGGCCTGGTTTATTAAGGGGAGTTGGGTCTTTAGCAATTCCCAGTATTTCTACTGGGTTTCTTTTCTTAGAGTCAGCAATTCCCAAGGCAGTTGATGAGGTCTGTTCTCTCACGGATATGCCTGTTTAATTGCTGTTAATTGTAACGGGTGTTATACACATGCATGGAGGGGAAGAATGAACCTCCTTAAGGAACTTCAGGAGGTAGTTCTGTGAATTGGTAGGAAGACATTGAACATAAAGTAAGAGCTTGATCCTGCAGTCAGTCTGGTGCCAATCCCACACTCAGTGAAGTCAATGGAAAGACTCCCATTGGTTTCAATGGGAGCTGGATCAGCCCCAAAGTGCAGAACTCTTATTCAAATCTATGAGAGTTCTGCACAGAGTGTCTGCAGGTTCAGGTTCTGGTCTAAACCACTACCATGCAGAGCTTTTATTAGCTTCATTGCAGTGAGCCAGGGGCCCACCGGCATATCCTGCCTTCTGAATCGCTGATGGAGTTTGGTGATTTTTTTTGTTTGTAAAGGATGTAAAGTTTTACCATAGCTTGGTTACTTTTTTTTAAATGGCTCTATCTCTGTGGGCACCAGCATGGTTTCTGTCTGGCTCCATCATCCATTGAAAGCCAGTCAGTCTTATGTTTGTTTTTAAATTCACAATTTCAGTGCCGGGTTGAGAAATATTACCTAAAACCAGGCATAAAATATAAATGATGGCACTTTATAAACCCTACCTAGGCCCCATTCAGCTATGGGCTATGCTAGCAGCGTCAGTGCATGAGAAATCCATACCGCCACATTCCTTGAAATCTAACTGCAACTGCCTGAATTCCACATTTAGTTCTTTGATTATTTTTATTTATTTATTTATTTATTAGTCGGAGGGCAGAAAGAAAGATACCATTTCTAACTGCATACAACACTGGTGGATCTGGTCCAATCTTACGACCACTCCATAAAGATTGGCAGGAATGTTTATGCAGCCAGCAAGGTGCTAGTTTAAAAATAGCATTAATTGTATCTTATACAGGGAAGATTGATTCAGGTTGCGCAGTTATTTAATGACCTCAAGCACTTTAGCGCTCGTGTTAATTACTTTCCGGGGTTTGGATGCTGCTCTGTAATACTTTGTGGCAGCTTTCTCGTTTGCAATGTTGTTGTTTTTTATTTTTAAAGTGACATTTTACAAACTGTTTTAGTGTCCTCAAAGGGGATACTTTAAAAATAAAATACTACCTCTGCCGTTCAACTTCATAACCAGCGTCTCAAGGCTTGATTCATTTACAAATAAGTTGCAGGTTATTTTTAACAAGACAACTTGTGAATACAACCACATACCTTTCTGGCCCTGTCATTGGGAATGATGAGATGCAATACCTACAAGGATCAGGTTATGCTGAACATCAGCTAATCATATTGAATCCTAACAGTAGGTGTAACCAGCTTCATGACTTGTTTTTATTCTGCCTCTCATTTGGTTCGTATGTCTGCCCTTCTGTGTGATATTATCTGATCATTTCACAAAGCAATGTGCCCCATGACCAGCTCTATCTTTAGTATCCAGCCTTTGTAATGTGATAAAAGTCTGGGCCTTGGAATTCAAAGGTAACCCAAGGGTGATGCCATTCCTAGTACAATCGTTTGTTTTATCTTCCTGTGCTTGTGAAATTCTGCCTCATTCTAGAGCAGAGGTTCTCAAACTGAGGGTCAGGACCCCTTAGGGGCTCGTGAGGTGATTACATGGGGGTCGCAAGCTGTCAACCTCCACCCCAAATCCCGCTTTGCCTCCATTTATAATGGTGTTAAATATATAAAAAAGTGTTTTTAATTTATAAGGGGGGGTCGCACTCAGAGGCTTGCTATGTGAAAGGGGTCACCAGTAAAAAAGTTTGAGAGCCACTGTTCTAGAGAGTCATCTGTACCATTCTACGGACATTTCCACAGTAAATAGCTAGGCACATACCTGATTGCAGAAAATTATTCTATAGGGGTGACAGGTGTATGGACCCCATGTAGAAGCTGAAAGGGGTAGGGATAACTCTGCATTTACATCAATTTAACTAGGAACAAAATCAACAGAGAGTCCTGTGGCACCTTTAAGACTAACAGATGTATTGGAGCATAAGCTTTCGTGGGTGAATACCCACTTCGTCAGACGCATGGGTATTCACCCACGAAAGCTTATGCTCCAATACATCTGTTAGTCTTAAAGGTGCCACAGGAGACTCTGTTGCTTTTTACAGATCCAGACTAACATGGCTACCCCTCTGATACTAGGAACAAAATGTGGCCAATAGTCCTTAAAAGTGGAGTAAATTTCTACTCTTTAGCAAAGTCTGAGAAATATGATTAATGGACCTAGAGAATACTGCCTTTGCCTATGAAGTGCTGTTTAGAACAATCCTAGGTAAAGAAAATAAAGTGCCAGCTAACAAATGGGATGCTGGAAAACAGAGCCAGAGGTGCTTGGGTGAGCTGGAGAGTCCTATAAAAAATTAAATGGGGTATGTAAACTGTAATACATTTCATTGCAATGCCAGCACTCTCAAAGATTGTACTGAACCTGAGCCTGCATAGTGTTATGTTAAAATGCACTCAAATAGGAATCTTGGTTCCCAGGCTTATTATAATAATCTCATTTGTATTAATACTCCAGATGCTTAGATCCTAAGAACACATTGGAAACTGCAAACTGGCCATATCAGTGGCAACAGTCTGACCTGACATCAGATTTTGACTTTTCTAGGTATTCATTGCCACAGATGCTGGATTCCCTGCTATATAGTAGAACAACTCAAGGCATTTTTTCTGGATAGGGTTAAATTTTAAGGTTTGTGAATGCCCTAAGTTATCCTGTCAAATCACAAGTAGGCCTGGATCTTTCTTTATGCTATGGTCCCTAAGATTTCCTTCTAGCTTTGGTGCCTTAGTATGATCCCAGACTAAAAGTCAGGATATTAATCGCAACTCTAAGACTGACTCTGATTTTTTGACTTGGGCAAGTACTTAAATAATTAATATTTCCAGATCACTGCGAGTGTATAATACATTCTGCCTTCCACGAACATACAAACTCACAACTTCCAGTGTTACCCCATCTATAAAATGGGGATACTACTGCCTCACAGGGATGTTTGTATCAGTTAACATTTTAAAGCACTTTGAAGATGTCTGCAAAGTATTTTATTCTTATTGTGCCTGTACCATTGCTATAGTGAAGGTTGAACTAGCTGTTCTATTCGAAACCGCCTCATTCATTCATCACTCTGTTCAGACCCTGTTGAGTTATGCAATCCTGGAGAAAAAGTTTTCTCCTTTTAAGATAAAGGGTATTTATTTTCTACACACATAACTCAACTGACTTTGTTTTAAAACTTAACCTCTTGACCTTGGTACTGAAGGCACATGCTGCAGAGCTGGAAGAAATTAGGTTTGGAAAGAAGTTCAGAATGATTGCAATTGCTATGCTGAGCATGTGTAGCACTTTCCTTCCTACAGCTACTTCATGTCATTCCAAGAGCTGTGTGCATACTGGCATAAACATAGCTGTGTTTGGTGTAAATGCTGAAGGACCCCACCAAAAATCTATTCAAGGTGAGATACTGTGGTCATAGCCACGCATCAGTGACACATGGTTACATCTGTACCTTCACGCTGACAATGAATGCGGATGTCCTGTTGACATCACCATGGAAACATAGTGTGGTGAATCAACCCAGCTGTGTTTATTTCAGTACGTGTATATTCTAATACATCTGACTATGCCAAAATAAGAACATGTATTTATTTCAGTGGTTAGGCATTGGAGTGTTTGGTTACACAGGTATGTGAAAACATTACAGATCCACAAAGCACCTCTGTTTCAATATTTGAGTTGCTAGATACCTTTGTTTTTCAGATTCGAGCACCTTAGCTTCTAGGTCTTGTGCACTGACTTCACTGGGAATTTATGATGACCAACGTGTCCAGGACTAGGCTCTTGCTGTATTGCCTCTGTAGCAACCCCTGCCCTTTCTAGCTTGAGAAGCAAGGCACTGACAATCAACTCTTGATCTCTCAACTAGCACTGGGACCACTGTCTCTACCCCAATATTCTGGATGGTCACATCATTTTGATACATGAGAGAATCAGTCTTTGACTAGAATGTGGAGTCTGAAGAGAAGCACATGGGGGCTCCTCTTCCTAAATATAAACAAGGAAATTAACAAGTCACAGGGTAGCTTGAACAATGTACGTGGTGTTTGCCAACCAGACTTACAAGGGTTAATAGACTCCAAAGATTAGATTTGCAATTCAGTTTCTGTGTAACTAACCAGTTTTTCCAGGCAAAACAAGCTGTCGAGAAGGTGACTTGCAAAACATGGATACACCTAATAAATATGCGCTTGTACCAGAAATAACCTTGAAATGATACAAGGTGAGAAAGGGAGATCCAGGATCATGTTTAAAAATACATCAATATAAATATTAATAAAATAGGCTGGATGCTGATTCTTTCTAATACTAATGTTGGATTCTTTATTAAATGCTATGCAACATGATTTTCATTTTGATCTTGAGCCTTTTCGTTCCTTTCTACTGAAAATAAATTCCTCTTGCCAGAATAAAGCACTTTGATAGATATCCAGGGCACTTTTTCAATGGCTATGGGAGAAATCCATTTCACTACACCTGTGGGTTTTGATTGTATGACTGAGTGCTGTAAGGAAAGGAGCCTGTGTTCCATAATTTGCATGTCAACAAACTTAATGTTCATAAAATGCTGTCAGCATAAAAGTAATACCAGGAAAGATAAACAGGAACCACTCCTAAGTATCTGATGTCCTGTCACGCACGGTTCGTGATAAGTGTGGCGTCTCTCCCAGTGTCCCAACAGAGGCAAGATTCTGGAGTTCTTGACACCCAGCCCTGTGCTCAGCCCAAGAGACCATTCTGCCTCAATACCTTTATCTTTCATTAATGTGGCTGAATGGAATTGCACATAACTGTCAAGACTGGAATACATGTTTATACAAAAGCAGCTGAACGCTGCTGTCTCATCTCACCTCTCTTTTAACCTCAGTTGCCTCTCCCAGCTGGCGAGGAAGCTAAATTACACACAAACTGTGTCCAAGAAGGTAGGGCTATAGGTGACTAAAATGCCACCCAGCAAGCTGCAATAAACAGAAACTCCACCCCAAGAGTTATAGCTCTTAAACAAGTCTGACTAAGCAGTTAGAAAGGTTATTGGCAATATGGGTTGTACTCAGGGGTTGAAAATAAGCCAGTATAGGCCGGTATGGCGTACTGGTAAAAAGTGGCCGCTGGTACCAGCCCGTACTCAGCTGGCATTAAAGTGCTGCTGCTAGTAGGGACCCATCAGGGCCGCCGATGGGGGGCACAAAAGGGGCAGTGATGTTACAGCAGGCCCCCTGGGCTGCCTGGGGGGGGTGGGCAGAGGGTCAAAAGGAGCAGCTGCCCCGGGGCTAATGAGTTCGTTCAAGTCCCTCTGTACATTTTGCCATGACTTCACTATTATGTATCAGCTGGTTATTAACTCTAATGGAATAAAAGCTACTAATGTGAAGTGTGACTAATTAGAAGAACTGATTTACTGATGGCTGGATTAGCAGACTTGCAGCTACCCCCATTTTCACATAGCTCCCACTTGGTGCAGCAGTCTGGGGGAGGGGAAGTGGGCTGATCCTGACTGGGGCCTCTCTGTGCCACTGTAAACCAAATAACTAACTAGTGAATCTTCCTAAACAGTAGTTAGTAATATGACTAATAAATTATTGATAGTGCTTTACCCAATGAATTCAAAGCAGTTTACAAGTATTTGTTATTCCTTACAATCCCCCTGTGAGGTAGGAAGAAATCCCCAATTTTATAAATGAGGAAATAGGCAAAGGCTGAGAAACTTCCCCAAGACCATACAATGAGTGGCAAAATTGGGTTTACACATCAGAGTGCCACACTCTTAAACCACACCATTGCCCAATACTGCTTATAAAGTGACCCTGATAAAGTTATACCCACTTACTTCATACCTTTATAAAGGAGGGTCTTTTTTAAGCCCTCATCTATTTAATTTCTCCTCAAATGTCTTTTTTAAAATGTTATTTTTCCCGCTATGATGGGTGTGTGCGTAAATGTTATGTGATATGGTGTTGTCATAGCAACTATCTGCTGGTTTTGAATAACAAGGTCATGCTGCAGCAGCTCCTGTCAGTCAGCTGTAAACACACAGGTGAAAA